CCAGACCTGGGTGGTCTACACCTTTATGGGAACAAAAGGTAATTTTCATGTAATGACCCTCTACAGCAATCAAAGTATCTTTTAACTCTTGGGATCTGGATTATCTTTTGGTAAGATTACGACCATTGTACCACTCGCCCTGAAACTATTCAAATGAAACCAAACATGACTGTAAATCTTATTTGCATTCATATAGAACATTATATTCTTGACCATTCTGAGTGAGCTGGGTGAAAAGAAGGATGGGTGAGGGGAAGGAAGGGGATGAGGAGGAAGCAATGCATATGTGAGAGAGGCGTTTCCTGCACCACCCCTCTGTGGGGTGTCTTGAAGATGCCAGTGTATTGTTTGTTTCTCAGGAGATCAAAGTGTCTGAGTTTATTTTATCCTTACAATGCTGTTAGATTATTATTATTATTATTGTTGTTGTTGTTGTGCTTTGTGCATAAATATACCCAGTCACAGCTGCCCAAGACTTTATCACTTATTCCTTTTAACATTGTCAAGTGCTTAGGTACTACTTTTTGGCTTTCATAAACAATTGTAAATGGAAGGAGACACATTGTAACTATAAACTTAGTTTTACATTTCATATGCTGTCACATCCTACAACCTCGTCATCTGCAGAGAGAAACTGCCACTCAATCACACACACACAAAAACACAATGATGGATTTAAAGGGATCATAGAGAATTATGAAAATACTGTGTTTTACTGGAACTTAGTCTTCATCAAAATGTCCACTGTCCACTTCTATTGATTGACACTGGTCTCATGTCTCTATCTTCCTGATGTAAAAAGTTATTACAAAAAGAATGTTAATTTTGGACATGCAATTCCCTTTTCTATCAGTAGGGGTAAAATTGAAGGTTGTGAAAGATGTCCATTGTCCCCTTCTATTGATTGACACTGGTCTCATGTCTCTATCTTCCTGCTGACGAAAGTTATTACAAAAAGAAGATTAATTTTGGACATGCAATTCCCTTTTCTACCAGTAGGGGTAAAATGAAAGGTTGCAAAAGATGTCCACTGTCCACCTCTATTGATTGACACTGGTCTCATGTCGCTATCTTCCTGCTGACGAAAGTTATTACAAAAGGAAGATTCATTTTGGACATGCAATTCCGTTTTATACCAGTAGGGGTAAAATGAAAGGTTGTAAAAGATGTCCACTGTCGCTCTCTATTGCTTGTCAATGGTCTCATGCCTCTGTCTCCCTGATGTAAAAAGTTATTACAAAAAGAAGGTTAATTTTGAACATGCAATTCCCTTTTCTACCAGTAGGGGTAAAATGAAAGGTTGCGAAAGATGTCCACTGTCCACCTCTATTGATTGACACTGGTCTCATGTCGCTATCTTCCTGCTGACGAAAGTTATTACAAAAAGAAGATTAATTTTGGACATGCAATTACGTTTTCTACCAGTAGAATTCGATTTTTTTAGGGCAAGTCGTTTTGGAGTTATTGCCGTTTATCGCTGAATGTGTCATGAATATCGAAAACAAAACTAACTTAACCCCGCTGAAGAAACATGGTAAAACAGTGTAAAACCCCAAACAAACACCATTAAACCACTAACATGAGTAGAACTGCAACATGAAACTGTCAAATCACTAATGAAACGCAGCAAAAAGGTGAAACATGGTGAATGAGAGTAGCATCAGTGACAAAACAACGTAAGATCTCTAATGAAACACGGTAAAACACGGTGAAAGCGTTACAGAACACGTGTCAGCTTTCAATAAAAGCGACCGTTACTATTGCTAAACTTGTAATTAGTAATTGAATGAATCAGTTTATAATCATGAGGTAATATGCAAGAAATGTTAAGAAAAATGATTTGATATAAATAAAGAGTCTCACTCTAACGATCAGCCCTGGAATCAGGACGCATGAGGAAGACGGCAGCGCCGAAGAGCATGATGGGAGATGTAGTCGTTAACAGAGCGCGGTGAGGCGGAATCCTCTCGTAAAAACTACAACTCCCGTCAGCATTCAGAGCGCGTCATTCAATGACACGGCCGCCTGTCATGTTACCAGTCCATCATTAGTAAAGGAAAAATAAACACACTAACAGTCAAAACTTTTGTACAGTAAGATTTTTAATGTTTTTTAAATAATTATCTTCTGCTCACCAAGCCTACATTTATTTGATCCAAAATACAGAAAAATAAGTGAAATATTTTAAATATTTTAAGCAGCTGCTTTCTGTGGAGTATAGAAAAGTTTATGAAAGTGTCACTCCACAATACAATAGCGAAATATATAAATATGTATAGTATTTTTATGTAACATTAATCAGTGTCTAGCACACCTTCCTGAGGAAACGATATTAGGATACTCTACTGGATATATATCTATATTAGGATATTTAGACAGACGTAAAGAAGTTACCGATCTATACTTGTGCTCTTATTATTTCAGTTATTTAGCCTTTAATGTAAATAAACATGTGCAAACAATATACTTGCTCTTGTGAATTTATTTTGATGTTAATTACATTGTGCAGCTGTCTCTTTAATACCGCGTGGTTTATATACATGCTGCTAATTGGGCTGACAAAACGGTGCACACCGGTTTGAGCTTGAACTTGCCCCTACTTTCCTGCAGTCCGTGTTCTTCTGACTCTTTTGTAGCAAGTAACGAATATGCTTCGGGGAAATGTATCGGAGTAAAAGTATACATTTTAATTAGGAAATGTAGTGGAGTAAAAGTAAAAGTTGGCTGAAATATAAAAACTCAAGTAAAGTACAGATACTCCCAAAAAATACTTAAGTACTGTAACGAAGTATTATTACTTCATTACACTACACCACTGACTATTATCAATAATTAAAACATACAAAGATCATAATCTCTCTGAAATAAAAAGCTTTTGTAACACTATACACTAGATCAGGGGTGGTGAACGTCGGTCCTGGAGAGCCACAGTCCTGCAGAGTTTTGCTTCAACCCTAATCAAACACACCTGAACACGCTAATCAAGGTCTGAAGGGTTACTAGAAAGCTACAGGCAGGTAGGTTTTTATTAGGGTTGGAGCTGGACTCTGCAGGGCTGCGGCTCTCCAGGACCGGAGTTCACCACCCCTGCACTAGACCATTCAAAGAGTCAGTATTTTTGGGGGGGCTGTTCTTCTGAACTTTCTATTCATCAAAGAAACTTGAAAAAAATTCTACTCAGCTGTTTTTAATAATAATAATAATATTAAATGTTTTTGAGCAGCTAATCAGAAGAATAGAATGATTTCTGAAAGATCATGTGACTGGAGCAATGATGCTAAAAATTCAGCTTTGATCACAGAAATAAATGACAGTTTAACAGATATTCACATAGAAAACAGCTGTTTTAAATAGAAAAAATATTTCAAAGTTGTACTGTTTTTGCTGTACTTTGGATCAAATAGATGCAGGCTTGGTGAGCAGAAGAGACTTCTTTAAAAAACATTACAAATCTTACTGTTCAAACACTTTTGACTGCTAGTGTACATAGAATAACAGCGTCAAAACACGAACGCCATATGAAAGGGTCTGGTCAGAAATTCTTTATTGAAGATGTATTTAAATTTTTTTACAGCCCATTTAGTTCTCTGATTAAACTTTTAACTGATATTGCTAGAGCAGCATCATTATTAGTGTTTCTCTCTAAGTATAAATGTTGATTACAAGAGGTTTGAGTGAAACTAGATCATACAGACTTTTGCTAACAAAAAGGATTCATTTTATCTTTATATTCTCTCATGATAGACATGACAGAATAAACACATGATATAATCAGTACTAACCACAGATAAATGCTGTGAACACCAATCATCTGTTCAGTGGTTTACATTTGCGTGCTACCAGTCGCAGGTAGACGGAAGAACCAAACAAAGATTTCTCAGCTGTCTTCTTCATTCACACACTGCTGTGGTAGACTGACAGCCCAGGATAAATCTGATGTGTATCTACAGTTTTATCCATCCCCACAAATCCAGTCCAAACCACAGGCGGACCACAAAATATACAAGGCTTCTGTTCAAAGTTCTAAAACTAATTTGTTTAATCAGGTTTGTCTGCAGCTTTTCTTCTGGGTCTTTGATTAACTGCAGCTTTCATCCTATTCCTTCTCTTCTTTCCTCTCCGGGTCCAGCATCTCAGAGAGCGCCGCTCCGTCTGTCATCTTCTTTTCTAATTTAGTCACGCGCTTCTTCAGTTTACCTTGTGTGGCTTCATGTTCGGCTAAGAGGCGAGCGAAGCACATCTGAAGGTCATCCAGCACGCTGCCGATCTTGGCAACCTTTTCCTCCATGTCTTTGGGATCGGGACCCTGCTTGGCCAGCTCTAAATCCAGAAGATTGTCCTATGGATAAAAATGATAAAACATTGAAAGAGTGAATCCACACTTTTATTGCTTCTGCTTAGTGTTTATGTGACCCTGGACCACAAAACCAGTCATAATGGTCAACTTTTTAAAAATTGAAATTGTTAGGATAGGACAATATTTGGCAGAGATACAACTATTTGAAAATCTGGAATCTGAGGGTGCAAAAAAATCTAAATATTGAGAAAATCATCTTTAAAGTTGTTCAGATGAAGTTCTTAACAATGCATATTTCTAATCAAAAATTAAGTTTTGATATATTTACGGTAGGAAATGTACAAAATATCTTCATGGAACATGATCTTTACTTAATATCCTAATGATTTTTGGCATAAAAGAGAAATGTATAATTTTGACCCATACAATGTATTGTTGGCTATTGCTACAAATATCCCCCAGCAACTTAACACTGCTTTTGTGCTGCAGGGACACATAAATGCATTCCAGACAGCGTGCATGATGCCTGAGTAGAGCATTTGGAAGGGAAATCTCTGAAATATCAGCGCACACTGACAGCGCTGCAACATCAGGCAGAAGCCCAGGTTTGTCACAACACATATCCAGTGCAATGAAGTCCACGACTGCTCTTTGATCTTATACTACTAGAAAAGGTTTAATAGTTCATATACTTTTTTGAAGAACTAACAGCATGCAGAATATGGCTGTCTTTAGCGCACACATAAGTGGCATTGCAATTGTACGCAACCGCGTGCGTTCATGCACGATATCAAATGGATTATACTTTGAAAGGCTATGCATACGACTGTGCTGTACTACAAAACGTCCAGAGAATATTTAAAAATAACATTCCCATAACATTTGCATGTTCCTTTAACGCAATGATCACCAACCTTTTTAGGCCCAAGATCCCTGACCTCGGCCTTGAAAGACAAGATCTATCTGTTGAAGAATTGATAGAAAAAGACTGCCCAGATTGTACTTCCAATTTGAGGCCTTTTATTTAATATTTGAATTAGTGATGCACCAATCATAGCCGATTCAGAATCAGATTTTCTTTTTTTCCCTTTTTTTAAATAGCAAATTGGCTGATTCTGATACTTATTTTTTTTAAAGCAAATTTATTTATTGGCTATTTGATTTATAACAAACAGACTGGCCTTAAATAAAAAAATATCTGTAGCCATTTGAAATTAGAGGTAACCACTGCATTTTAATCACGATACAAACAAAGATGCTACACACATGTTGCATGAGCAGTTGTTTTTTAAAAAAGAGATTGTATAATTTCAGGATTTATATCAAAAACAGAATGGCTTTTGGCTTAAATGACTTTAGGTTTTATTTATTTATTTATACATAAAACATATCTGCATGAAACAAAAACAGCAGGTCTGAATGAGATGCAAATACACTCTCTGCCAGCAGGTGGCGCTTATGAACCAGCCGCGATATAGCGTTTCCTTGGTTACCGCTGTAAACAAAGCAGAGCTGCGCTTTATACAGAGATAAGAGAAGAAAACGCCATTGCCACCGAAACTTTTCTCAATGCAGTTCCCTTCAGTGATACTGCTACAGTATTTTCTCTTCTTTGTGCTCGTCTTCAACATCTCTGGCCTCTGTTAAGTTACTGTGTGTGATGTATTTTTCTTTATCACTGTCTCAGTAGCTACCAAAAATAACAGGAAAATACAGTACAAAAAAGGTCTGAATGAGATGCAAATACACTCTCTGCCAGCAGGTGGCGCTTATGAACCAGCCGCGATATAGCGTTTCCTTGGTTACCGCTGTAAACAAAGCAGAGCTGCGCTTTATACAGAGATAAGAGAAGATCGGTTGGCGATCATGAAGAATTTATTTTTTGTTCTCACTCTTATCTTATCTACATATATTTTACTGTTATTTTCGGGATCTACTGGGACAGTGATAAAGATCGGTTGGCGATCATGAAGAATTTATTTTTTGTTCTCACTCTTATCTTATCTACATATTATAATTGGTTTAGTTACAGTGCATTTATTAAGCATTTCTCTAAAATGTCCAAACTCATTATATAGGTTTGATATTAAGGTTTTATCATGATAGACGATGATTTAACTGCAGTGACACACAACATGCCTTTATGTTAAAATTAAATAAAACCACTTCTCATAAAGAACAAGAACATGGTCTTCTTTTTAATGAAATACCAATGGTTATATCGGCTAATTATGCATTCTTTATAGCAACTTGTTTACCATATTCTTCATTCTTTCAAGCAGACATATCTATTTATATAAATAAATTTAGATTAATCTTTAGGGCTACTAACGTTTTTCAGTCAAGAGCACTGCGTGATTTTCTGTCTTTCTGTGTTGCTTGATTAACATCAATGACTCAGACAATAGCAACTAAATTAGGCTGCTGTCCCTTTAAAACCGAATGGACAGCTGCAATGGATGCAATGCACTGATACACGTTCTTCCTGCTGTTTATGTTCACTTAAGACGTAATCAACTGCGTTTGCGTGAATACTCGTCAAAACGGACCAATCAACATCATTTTGTGTGTAATTCTCCATTCATGCGACGCGAAAGAGTACTCGTGCGCTGTGAGAGGCGCTTTCTGTGTGTGTGTGCTTCAGTGTCTGCGCTCAGAAAACCAGATCGAATTGAGCTCTCTCTTGTGTCGTCAGATTTATATATTATATGTCTGCTCTTCTCTTACTCCCACATATTGAAATTTTTTAACGTTTTATGCGACGTGCAGCAAGTACACGTTAGCTTATGTCCCGCCAGTTCATATGTACACATCTAACCTCCTAACCTAACCTCCTAAGCCTAACCCTAACCCTAATCACGCAGCAGATTCGTTCTGAATGAATCTCTTCCCAAATCATCCCTCCCTAACATTTTCATCTCGTTTTTATTCGTTGACGAAAATGTCAATAGCTTTACGTCATAGTCTTTGTCATTCAAAAAGAGTTTTAGTTCATTATTGTCTCGTTGTTGTCAGTGAAAAAAATGTTGTTCACGAAAATTATTCGTCAACGAAATTAACACTGGTTCGATGCATTACTCTCTCGAGGCCGTTTACTGAACCGCATACCTTCATAAGGATTTGTCGTCCCTTCTCCTCCAGCATGGCCTTGGCATCTGGATATTCGGTCAGCGCCTCCATCAGATCGTCTTTGGACAGGCAGAAGAGGTCAGAATAGCCGATGCTGCGGATGTTGGCGGTCCTTCGGTTGCCTGCCCTACTGCCCTTGATGTTGAGGATGCTGATCTCTCCGAAGTAGCTGCCGTCGCTCAGCACCACGAACTGCGTGACTCCGTCATCGGCCACCACAGCCAGTTTTCCTTCCTTAATGATGTACATCTCGCGGCCGATGTCGCCCTTCTTGCAGATGTAGTCTCCGGGGCTGTAGACCTGCGGCTGAAGCTTCAGCACCAGCTCCACCAGCAGCCCGGCCTCGCAGTCCGCGAAGATGCGCACCTTCTTCAGAGTGTCCAGGTGGACGTTTATAGCGATCTCCGCCCGCAGCTTGTCCGGCAGGTACTTCAGCACTTCCCTCTCGTCCACCGCTTTCTTGTTGGTCCACAAGAAATCGAACCACTTGATGACCCGTTTCTCCAGGTCTTTGGTGACCTTTCGGAAGCTCATGTACTGTTTGATAAGACCTGCGGCTGAAGCTTCAGCACCAGCTCCACCAGCAGCCCGGCCTCGCAGTCCGCGAAGATGCGCACCTTCTTCAGAGTGTCCAGGTGGACGTTTATAGCGATCTCCGCCCGCAGCTTGTCCGGCAGGTACTTCAGCACTTCCCTCTCGTCCACCGCTTTCTTGTTGGTCCACAAGAAATCGAACCACTTGATGACCCGTTTCTCCAGGTCTTTGGTGACCCTTCGGAAGCTCATGTACTGTTTGATAGCGTCGATACGAGCCTGGAAATCCGCTCGCGCCGCGTTGGCGTTGGTGATCATGGAGCCGACGTTACCGACGATGGTGGCAAAAATCAACACGCCGACCAAGAAGTCCGTCACCACAAAGAAGTACTCTGAGTTTTTGACAGGGGGCGGCGTTTCGCCGATGGTGGTGAGCGTGAGCGTGGACCAGTACATGCTGTATGCGTACTTTCTCTCCAACCGGCCAAACTCCGGGTTCGAGATGTTCGGATACACGAAAGCGTCCGACCCGAAGCCAATGGCCTTGGAGAAGGAGTAATACATGCAGGCGTTCCAGTGGATGATGATCACGATGTACATGACGAGGTTGGAGATTCGGAACAGGTTGGGAAAGTTAGTCCGTGTTTCGGTGCGCTGGAAAAACTCGAACAAGCGGTTGACCCTCAGTAGCTTGTTCATGCGAATCTCGGGGTAGTTCAGACCGAAGTAGAAGTAGAAGATGTCGGTCGGAACCATAGAGGCCAGGTCCAGCTTGAACTGGATGCTCTGCGTGTAGCGATCGCGAAGTTTCTTCTCATCCTTCACCAACAGCCCCTGCTCCAGATATCCTGCAGACGAGCACAAACACACCGAGATTTCAAGTTGTCACCTTTATTTATAGAGTGCTTTTAACAATACAGATTGTGTTAAAAAGCAGCTTTAAAGTATTAAATAGGAAAAATAGTGTGTATTAAATACAAAACAGTAAACACTAAATTTTCAGTTAAAGTAAGTTCTGTCTCTCAGAGGGATTTGCATGGTAATATACACATGACAATGTTAATGTATTTGCTCTTGGTGGAATAGATCTGCTACACTGCTGCTGCTGCCAATACATCCACAACATGCTGCTGTGAGCATGTAAGAAATACTGCTGCTGCACATATAACATACATAAAATAACCCCCATATAGCATACATGAATCACCTCGTAGCAGATCTATACAGGTGGAGCTGGGGAAGGTGGAGGGTCTCTGAAGTGCACTGCTACTGCTACAGCAAGCATTAGTCATATATTTGAATGTTGAGCAGCGAGCTCATTGGCTAGCGATACATCAGCTGTGCCATGTGATAATGATGTCATTAGGTCAGACTAAGTTAGACCTATCGGACTGCGTCATCTGGAGTTTCATGCCAGAACTCTGTATTTCGTCATTGATTCAGTGATGTTATCGTCCAGCTCAGTTCAGTTCAAATAGTGTCTGTGCACTCAAGTTGACGATTTAATTTCAACATGCTCGGACATTTCTCCTGATGGAGCTGGAACTCACCTGTCCTGGTCCTGAACACCATGTCCAGCAGATACACCAGATCTGATAAGAAATCCAGGATGAACCAGTTCATCAGAAAGTCCGACTGCAGCTCCTCAAAGCAAGCTCTGAGAGACAGATAGAGAGAGAGTCGAGCTGAGATCCATGGACTAAACTATCAGAGAGCAAAGTGTTGTTTTGTGATGTGACAGGCACCTCGCTATGATGAGAACCCAGTTGTACATCACTGGACACGTGATCATGAAAAGCCAGTTGTAGTACATGTTTCCCGCCGGATCCACAACCTCAATCTCCTTTGGTCTGGAACACAAGAGTATAGAGTTTTAGAGACTAAATGCAGAACAGTAACAGTTCCAACACGCATCCCATCTCCCAACGAACAGATAACGATTCTCTAATAGCATAAAAATTACATGCTTCACCTTTAACAAATATACAATATCAAAAACAAAGAGACAAAGATGATGGAATCTGACAGTCTAAACAAAGATGAACCTACGGTTCTTTCTTCTCTTTCTCTTTCTCTTTCTCTTTCTCTTTCTCTTTCTCTTTCTCTTTTTCTTTCTCTTCTGCTTCTTTTTTCTTTTCCTTCTCCTTTTTTTCCTTGTTCTCTTTTTTCCTGGAACAACACAAATATGTAGAGTAAACCATCAATGAATTAATAAATGAAGCGAATGTTTGAAAAATCATCTCATCTTACTCTTTCTTCTCCTTTTTTCCTTTCTTTTTCTTCTTCTTTTCCTCTCTGTGAATATAAGACACATAATGATAAAGCGGTCAAAACACCTGAAGCGTAAGTGTGTTTTGTGTGTGTGTATGAACTCACTCTTCATTGTTATTGCTGTTGTTGGTGTTGAAGTAAGGTCCAGCTTCTGGGTGCTTCTCTTCTCTTCAGAAAAAAAAGTCAAATCAATAACCGATAACTTATCGATCATTAACCAACCACTGATTTATATCCGAGATAATAATCCATTTATCCGTCACCCATAATGCATTGCTCACATAATGTCCTCTGCGGCCATTGCAACCTGCTCCACCCCCTCCAGAAGAAATGTGGGCGGGACCAGAGGCCTCACTCGAGCAGACATCACGGCTGATTGGTCAGGCCACCTGTCCATCACACAGTACTGCAGAAATATCTACATTTCACATTTTAGAAACTGTGCAGATGCAGTTCACAGCAACTGAGATTTATATTCTCTTCCATATGTTTCAGTATCAGAAAGCAGTTATAATAAACTTGTTATTTTAACTGGACAACTCAAAATAGAAAAAGCCGAATAAACACTTTTACTAAAATGAACAATGTCCCCAGTTTTAAATAAGAAAGACAACAAGCAGTACCAGATTTCTGTTCTGCTGAAATTTTGACAGTAAAAATCTCTCAGTATGTCATGAACACTTGCAGCACAGTCTCTGCAGCCTTATCTTCCCTTTTATTTTCATCCGAAAGGACAGAGATGAAGTGTAAATCTATCTAAATAAAATGAAATAATAATAACAAATCGAGCAGTTGGTATCCGTCGGTACTCACCTTCTGCTGCCTTCACACACCTGAGCGCCGCACTGACATCCTCATCATCATCATCCTCATCATCATAGTCACAGGTGTGCCAGCGAAAGCATGAGCTCATTCTCTCACACACAAAAGCATGAGAGTATGTTTGGGATAAACCTGGAACACTGATAATTTTGTTGAGTATTCCCAACGATGGCGGACCACGAGAGGATTTCAGAGTGGCACAGCAGGATTTGGGATTACACAGATGACAGTCACCAGGTCACTCGTTCTCTCTCTCTCTCTCACACACACGCACACACACACTCACTCACTCACACACACACGCACACACACACTCACTCACTCACACACACACGCACACACACACTCACTCACTCACACACACACGCACACACACACTCACTCACTCACACACACACGCACACACACACTCACTCACTCACACACACAC